AGCGGACTTAATTTTGCTTGCTTGGATTTATGGTATCCAGGGCAACATTTACCAACAACAACAGAAATGCAGTTGTTTATTTTTTGCATATTCTGCTCACTTTCCTCTTATTTCTATTCTTTTTTCTTCCATGCTTCTCTTCCATCCTTTCTCTTCTTTCATTCATCAAACACCTGCTTACTGAGAGCTTTCTATATGCAAGGCCCTATAGATGCTGGAGTAAAGGAATAAGATCAAGTCCGTTTCCTAAGTTAATACTGTGCCTGTTTCTTTTACCTCTCTTTCCTATCCAGTCCTTTATTGATCTTTTATTTTTTACATCAGTCTTTTAGATACATCGATCTTCATCCTTTTTTTCTAGTTTCAGAGTAGAGAATGAAAACAAAGCAAAAAAAAGTGTGTTGTGTTTAAAGAAAACTGTCAGAAGCAACTCTTACAAAGTGCCTTGTTGCAAAAAGAAGAGGACCACATTAGTCACTTAACTAAATTTTATTGAGCATTTTAAGGACTGAATGTCTGTGTCCCCTTAGAACAGTGGTTCTCAACCTGTGGGTCGTGACCCCTTTGGCGGTCGAACGACCTTTTCACAGGGGTCGCCTAAGACCATCGGAAAACACATATATAATTACATATTGTTTTTGTGATTAATCACTATGCTTTAATTATGTTCAATTTGTAACAATGAAAATACATCCTGCATATCAGATATTTACATTATGATTCATAACAGTAGCAAAATTACAGTTATGAAGTAGCAACGAAAATAATTTTATGGTTGGGGGTCACCACAACATGAGGAACTGTATTAAAGGGTCGCGGCATTAGGAAGGTTGAGAACCAATGCCTTAGAATGTATATGTTGAAGCCCGATGAGGTTCCTGTGGCTGGAATCTCTATGGAAGTAATAAGGTTAAGGAGGTGATACGGCTGGTGCTCTGACCCAGAAGAGTTAGTGTCCTTAGGAGAAGAGACACCAGAGTGCTACATGAGGACACAGTGAGAAGGTGGCTCTCTGCAAGCCAGGAAGATAGCTTTCACAAGAAACCTACCCAGCCAGACCTTGATCCTGGACTTTCAGTCTCCAGAACTGTGAGAAAATAAA